GGCCGGGGCCGCCAGGCCCGTCCCGGAAGTCGCCGCCGCGGAACGGCGGGCCGCCGCCGCCCCTGCCGCCGAACGGCGGGCCCCTGGGGAACGGGGGGCCACGCCGGTCGAAGTCGCCAGGCCGCATGCGCGCCGCAGCTGCGCCGGGCCCGAGCGCTGTGTGCGGGGCTGCTTTACTGCTTTGGCGCCGCTTCCACGCTGCCAAGCAAGCGCGCTGCTGTCAGGCTCCTCGGTGATGACAATGTCACTGCACGTGTGGAGAATCCAATTTGTAAACTACTTGTTACTTCGAAGCTCTAAGATTTTAAGAAGGCAGATCACGCAGATCACCGCAGACTGCCACACGACCTGCGAAGCAGCTTGTTCACAATCATCAAGGCAACAAGTTTATGAGTGACGAGCCGATGTCTCTAGCTGTTTGGATAGATTGAGTGAGGCCGATGAGTAACTGGCCAGGCCTCGGGCAATTTGTGCGGCTTCAGAGCAAGTCCACATGCGATCAACATCATAGACCGTTCTTCCGTTCACAAACAGAAACGTGAGATCAAGGGCACGTCGACATCCCACTTTCCCAAATGCGTCAGCGGCTTGAGCCATCGCCCTCGTCTTGCTGACGCCCATCGAGCCTAGTGCTGCACTCCATGCCACAGCCTGGTGCTGCGCCCCATGCAACTTATCACTGGTGCCAACTCGTAGGTCGTGAAAGAACTCATACTCCTTATAAAAAAGTTAGTGCGTCTTCTCTCCCACATGAGCGCGCGCATGCGCCCGAGTTTGTGTGTGTGCGTGCGGCGTGCGCACGCATGTCCGGCGTGCGCATGCATGTGTGCAAGTGTGTACAGGAGACAGCAGTGGCTCGCGGGTGCGACCCCCAGCCTGACGCAACACCAAGGGCCCTGCAAAACGCCCTGCCATGCCGCCTCGAGCCCGCGTCGTGCGAAGCAGCTATGCGTGGGCCATGCGCAGGCCATGCGCGGGGCAGTGCGGCCGAGGGAGAGGCGCAGCAGGGCAGCTTGAGGCAGGGATCAGTGTCACGCGTGCGCCGCTGCTGGCGCTGCGCAGGATGGGGGGCCTGCGCTCAATCCTGAGTGCCCATCGCTCCAAGGCGCGTAAATCTAGTCCACCCCAATATGTGAGCGCTTGGCAGCGTCCCAGGGATCGCACTTGTGAATAATTAGTCACACCAACGAGTACTTAGTCCAGACAATTGAGCCGCATTGGAGGCAGCTATCAAAGGAAGGACGCACAGCGCGGCATGGTGCATGCAATATGGTGCGTGCGAGCCGCACGTTGTTCGAAGGGCGCGCCCACACCCTCAGCCCCCGGCGCGCGGCTGCTGCCCGTGGTCCTCTTCCGCCCCGGCCTGCTGCTGCTGCGCGCCGTCCAAGAAGCCGCGCCACAGCGCCGCCTCCTTGCTGGGGCCCGCCTCGGCAAACTTGTCCCTGTGTGAAGAGCCGAGGAAAGGCGACATGCGAGCGCGTAGGCAGCATTAGCGGGCCGCAAGGTCAGGTGAAGGGCACGCCGGCTGCGCCAGCGTGGCGGCAAACGGCCGCGGGTGCCCGCGGTTTTGAGCGCAGAGAACCCTGATGCCCGTCAGACGTTGCAGATTGTTTGCTGCAAGCCACAAGGGGGTGTTCCCCATCTCTTATAAATTGGTGCCGCGTCTCACCACCAGGGGAAGTGGTTGGACAGCTTGTCCAGACTGAAGGAGACATCGGATGAGCGTGTGAGCAAGTGTGTGTGTGTGTGTGTGTGTGTGTGTGTGTGTGTGTGTGTGTGTGTGTGTGTGTGCGCGCGTGTGTGCATGTGTGCGCGCGCGTGTGTGTGTGCGTGTGTGTGTGTGTATGTGTGTATGTAAGTGCACGCGCATTAAATTGCACGCTTCCCTGCACATGAGCGCGCATGGTGTGCATTTGGCGTGCATGCGCAAAGGTCGAGACCTGCCTGTGCCAGCGCGCAGCCCCCGCGACCCCAGGCGACCCCCCCCCCCCACCTCAGCTCGGGGTAGGCCGCCTGCACCAGCTGTACCAGCAGCCGCCCGACCAGCGCCTGCCCCGCGGGGCTGAAGTGCAGCCCGTCTGACAGCAGCCGCGTCTGCCACCCCTCCTCCGCCTGCAGCGCGGTATGCAGGTCCAGAACGGGCAGGCCGGCCGCCTCGCCCACCGCTGCCGCTGCCTCCGCGTAGCGGCCCGCAAATTCATTGGTGCGGTCTGGCTCCACTGGGTCAGTCGTGCCCATGCGCTGCATCGACATACAAAGGACGTTTGGATACGCACAGGGGTTTGAGAATGCAGCAGGCAGCAGTAACCTGCGCACTGTGGAAGCTCGGCTCAAGCACCCCTCCCCCAACAGGCGGCGGCGGGCCGCCTCGGGTCTCTCTCTCGCGCGAGCGCCGCAGCAGTGCGTCCGAGGCGCGCCCGCCGTGCACGGCCCCGCGCTTCCTGCCTTATCCCTCCCCCCCCAACCCAACCCGCAGCCCGACCTGCTGCTGATGCCTGATGCGCCCCTCATCGTACACAGGCGGCGGCGTGATGATCACGAGGCGCTTGATGCCGGCGGCCCTCATGGCAGCCACCATGGACTTCAGGTTTTGGGAATAGTCCGCCAGGGGCACGTGCTGGCGGGCGCTGCGGGGGACCCCAGAGTGAGCACGCGCGCGCAAGAGGGGGGCGTCGAGCACTGATGCACGATGCGAGATCGCCGGCGCACGTCCGAGGTTGCGGCGGGCCGGGGCGTTTGTGCAAGTGTCAGCCGAGGAGCCCGGGCCGGCGCGTCCAGA